AAACTCTAATTCTTTCATGTGAAATTTCTATTATTCCTTTAAGTTTGTTTTGTATATTTTATATTCGGTTACAAGATTATCCTTCCATTATTAGAGTTATATTAAAGTGCAAGTTGAGGTTTCAAATGGTTTGGTTTAACCTTCTTTACAATGAGGAGATTAAATATTGACTTTGGTCAAGGATGACGGAAACTTATGTGTTTCTAGATCTTATTATTGTACCTATACTATATTAGCGTCCAGACAGACACTCCCGTGTCCGTCTGTCTGCTTTTATTGATGCAGAGATGAGTAAAAATATAAACAGTATTTTTTATATATTTATTTTTTATTTTAATTAAATTATTTATAAAATAATAAAAAATAGTAGAATGAAAGAGATATACAAACCACCATATAGCGGTTAATAAAACAGAAGATGAAATTTAATTAAAAAATGAAAAAGAGTATAACTGAAAGAAAAAAACTACACAAAAAACAAGTTTTGCCTTTATATATAGTTATAGATTAAAAACAAAATTAAATTAAAAAAAAAATATTTGTTTATATTTTAATATGTGTGTCAATTAAAAAAAAACAGAAAACAATTGCAGGGATAAAGAAAATTCTCAAGATAAAGATTTTATGTTCGGTCTTCCTCCTAAAGAATCCTCTTCAAGAACGTTATTGATTACACAGTATAAATAGTATTTTGTATTCTTCGGTTATTTAATATAATTTAGAATAACTTTGTTTATCATTTTCAAAATGTAATAATATTATTACCATGTTTAGACAACATATTTTTTTATCTAAATTTTATTTAATTCGGTATGTTTAAAATAATAGTAGAATTAATATATAGTTAATTCACTAAAGTATTTTTAGACAACATATTTTTTAATATAAATTTTATTTAATTCGGTATGTTTAAAATAATAGTAGCATTAATATATAGTTAATTCACTAAAGTATTTTTAGTATATATACATTTATCATCGTGATTTTAAGACGGCTTGAGGATATCTAAAAATATTATTTTAATTAATCTTAAGTATGATAAAGACTTCATACAAAATATACACACATTTATTTTTCTATGTTGTGCGCATTAAAAAAAGCGGACGAGAGTGCCCGTCTGAACGCTAGTTATTCATAAAAAGGACGCAGAAGCAAGTTAAATAGGTGAAAATGTGATAAAACAACCACCGTTAGATAATAATGACAAAAAAGAAAATGTTATAGAACAACCACCTATAGATGACACTGACAACAGTGTAGAACAACCACCTAAAGATGATACTGACGATGGTGAAAACGTGATAGATTAACCACATATAAATAATACTGACAACACAAATAGTCCTAATTTTGATCAAGAGAAGATAATATTTTAGAAATAGGAGAAGAAGGAAATTTTAAGCATAATAACACTTCTAGTGAAGTACCTACAAATATTTATGACCCAGGACTATGGAAAAATATTGATGGAAAATTTCGAGATTTAATGATAGAAAAGGGTCCTATCAGACATGGCAATTTTCAATATCCAAAAAATGAAAATAAAAGATATTTATGTTCATCATGTTATCAGCGAACACTGTTAAAGGGAGAAAAACACGATAGAAGATGGCTAGTTTATTTTAAATATTTAGACAAAGTGTATTGTTTTTGTTGTAAATTATTTGATTCAAAAAATTGTAGTCAACTAGCAAACGAAGGACTAAAGATCGGAAGAATCTTGGATCCAAACTTAAGAGTCATGAAACAAATCGTGAACATATAATTAATATGACCAAGTGAATTGAACGATAAGAGAGATTGAGAACAAAACAAACAATTGATAAACATTTACAAGAACAAATTAACAAAGAAAAGGAACATTGGAAAAAGGTTCTCCTTAGGATTATAGTTATAATCCAGTATCTTTCTAAAAATAATCTTGTTTTTCATGGAACAAATGAAAAGATATATGAAAAAGGTAATGGTAATTTTTTGAGTTTGATTGAGATGCTTGCAGAATTTGATCCAATTATGCAAGAACATGTTAGACGCATACAAAATAATGAAACTCGTAATCATTTTTTGAGTAATATCATACAAAGCGCGCTTTAAATGAGGATGAATTGAAAAAATATTGTAATAATCTTGAAAAGCTTTTAAGGTTTAATGAATACTCTGATATTGACGGTCTTGATTTATTTTCATAATTGAAAGTACTAAGAGAAGTGTAAAGAGAAGAAATTAGCACACCAATAAAAGTATTGAGTTATATTAAAACTTTAGATTCTTTTTCAAAGGTTTACGTTGTATATATAATTTTATTGACAATCCCTGTAACAGTTGCTACTCCTGAAAAAAGTTTTTCAAAATTAAAATTGCTTAAATCATATCTAAGATCAACAATGTTACAAAATAGATTGAATGAGTTAGCTATTTTATCTATTGAAAGTGAAGTGTTAGAATTACTTGATTATAAAACTCTGATAAATAATTTTGCAGCTAAAAGATTAATATAAAAATTGATATTTTATATAATATACTAAGTCTCTTTAAAATTCTTATAAAAAAAGGTCCCTTTAACATTTTCGCCTAAGGCTCCAAAATGTCTGTAAACGACCCTGGAGTTAGGGTTAACGAAAAAAACAAGAACAACAAGGATTGGTTATAACTGTTATTCTTTACTTTCTCTTTAAATCAGATTACAAGTACTTAAGAATAACAATCTCACCCTAATTAGGATTTGCCACACTTAAAATGAGAGACTAGTATGCTATTTATAATAAAATCTAACATACTGGGGTTTTTAACAATTACTCATTACAAGCTAACTTAAACAATTGGATCCTTAACACAAGGCCCAATTCGACAACTACATAGTAGAACACATTTCGACTACAACATGTAGGTCTTCGACAACAACATGTGAGCCGTCTTCGACGACATGCTAAACCTCTGTCGATAATACTAGAGTTCGATCTAATATCTCACAAATCTTCACCTTGGAACAAACTCTATAGCATGAAGAAACAAACTAATTTTCTTCATCATCGATCTTCACATCAATATTTTCAAGATCAAGAATCAGCTTGTTGAACATATCCAATTGCTCAACCAACACCTTGTCTTCACTCATCTTGAATGAATACAAAGCTTGATTCAAGTAGAGTCGATTCACCAGAGATTTGGTCATGTACAAACTTTCAAGTTTCAACCATAACCCCGATGTCGTAGTCTCCTTTGATACCTATCGGGATACCTTATCACCAAGGCTCAACAATATTGCGTTGTGGGCTTTCTCTATCATGGTTGTCTTTTCTTTTTCCGTTAACGCAGCGTCCATGGCTGCCTCTCCCTTCAACGCTTCCAAACAACCGCGTTGAACCAGTAGGTTTTTCATCTTCAAGCGCCACAGATCGAAGTCGTTTACTCCTATGAACTTTTCAATCTCATACTTTGTTGAAAGCATCTCCTCCACGCTCACCACACTTATTTGTTATGAAAAACGATATCTTAGAATAAAGTATAAAGGATTGCTTTATGATCAAAAAACATACAAGGGTTAGAGTTAACGGAAAAAACAAAAAGAAGAACAAGAATTGGTTATAACTGCTATTCTTTACTTTCTCTTTAAATCAAATTACAAGTACTCAAAAATAACAAATATCCCTCTCACCTAATTAAGATTTGTCACACGTAAGATGAGAGAATAGTATGTTATTTATAATAAAACCTAACATACTAAACTAATGGACTTTTTAACAATTACCCATTACAAGTTAACTTAGGGTACAAGCTAACTTAAACAATTGGATCTTTAACACAAGGCTCAATTCGACAACTACATACTATAACACATTTCGAATACAACATGTAGGTCTTCGACAACAGCATGTGAGCAGACTTCAACGACATGCTAAACCTCTGTCAAAAATACTAGAGTTCGATCCAATATCTCCCATAAATGAAACGTAATCACATGTGTTAGTATCGATTTCAGACGCCGACACTGACATAGACACACCTTTTTTTAGAGGTATCGGTGCTACAGAGGTTAGAGACAAACTTTTGTGCAAATTGTTGTTCAAGACTTTCTGAATACCAAAAGATCAAATATGCACTCCAAAATATAGGTTAAGGCCTTAGATTTAGTGTGGTAGTAAAAATAATGAAAATGAGATAAGTTTGTGTATTAGTTAGAGGAGAAAAAAAAACTATGTTGTGAATACTAGCCGCGATAGCGATGCACTGCAAAAAAAATTTTAAGGTCACTTGCTATTGTACCAGTCCAGCGTGAAAGGGGAAAATGGGTGTAGCGGTTGAGATCGCAGGTTCGAAGCGGTGAGGGTGCGGTTTAAAAGCAGACGAATTCAAATCGGGTCAGGTCGGCGAGTTTTTACCCATTACTTTTAAAAAGTTAAAAAATAAAAACCTAATTTTTTTTCATTCTACTCGCACAACAGCAACAACATTCCTCTTCGTTCCTGGCACGACACACTAACATGTTCTTCTCCTTTCCTCGTTCGCACACTATTCGTCTTCCTTTTCATCATCCATTGTTTCATCTTCGTCATTTCTTTTCCTCTTCCTTCATTGCTTCAAGTTGAGGTATTTCATATTTCTCTTGTTCCTCATCTGCTTCTTCTCTTCTCTGCTTTCTCTTTTTTTCTGCTCTGTTTTTTATTTTATTGTTTTCTTATGTTTTTTTCTTCCAACAACCATGACAATTTCTCCTCCTACTAATTTTACTCAACCACTATCATCCAAGAAGAATACAAAAGAAAAGCAAACAAGCTTGAATGATGCTAGTGATAAGAAAGAAAAAGCATACATAACTCGTTTCTTTTAACGGAAGTAGTACATATAAATAAACAGTGACCAGACATATGAGAAATTGAGTAATCATTTCTAATCTTCTATTAAATTTAGTCAGAAAATACACAGCAATTTCCAGTGTACCTTAAAAATGCTTTCATGGGGACAGCTTATTAAGGAAAAAACGCAAGAACCTCTAGTAAAACTCATGAAGACATATCATACTTGAGATCTTGGAACCTTTTGATCAAGCTCGACTTGAATTTCTCAACATCTTCATCCCCGAGTGAACTTGGAGCAGACCTAATAATTGGAATGGCCCCAGCACGATGCAAGGATGCAAGAACTTCATCTATAACAAATGAAATAGTTTATGTCAATAGAAAATAGAAAAGAAGACTAGTGCTAGTTTCTTATTCAATATGTTCACAGGATAAGATACATGTGTTGATCGCTTATAATCGTATAAGGACTGATGAGGTGCTTTGGTAGTTTTGGAGAGAAGAACATAAGGGTTCAACTCCCCCGCTAAAATACACACGAGGCCTCATGTCATGCATATATTGTCCCGAAATCTATTGATAAATATTTATGTTCCTTTTCAATTTTATATGCCCATATGGTTTGAATAAAAAAGACTAACAGTTTAAACAAGTAACCATTTTCTGAAGTTTTTATCCTTTGATCTTACAGTTAGTTTGCAGCTAGATTATAATGAAAGTAAATTACAAGGGATGAACATTTCTGGTTTACTATTTAGGACCACAAAGTTGCTACTTACTACTATTGGGCCGAATATCCACCAGCATGTTAATAAGCATGTTACAAAGAAATGATCTTAGAAGCAAAAATTTGGTAAGTAATATGCAAAGGATATTTAAATGAAGACTTCAAAGTTCAACCTGAGTGCGACAGCTCAGCCAGAGCATTCAGTGCTGCTTTCCGTGTACGGTCGTCTTTAGCCGTGCTTAACATATTTATGAGCTCTTTGTCTCCACCCAACTCAACTATCTTCATCCTGCTTTCATCTTGGAGATAAAGGAAAGTGAACAATTTGAATATACACACACATGTAAGCATGGAAGGTATCTATACCTTACATTAAAAAACTATGTATATACAATTGAAAGCTCAAACTAGCTAAAACCAAAATGAGGATATTTGCTGGTTATAAAACACAATTTTTTTATAACTGCTACATCAGTGGTTAGTCAGTCATAAAAAAAAGGTCATAACTGTGTACAGGGCATCTCTTTTAACAGTGAATTCAATAACTCTTTATCTAAGTTCAAAATCTCCCACCAACTCTCCCCTTTATCTAAGTTCAAGATCATCCAACTATCAAGTGCAAAATCTAATTATATAACTCTTTTATCTAAGTTAAAAATCTCCCACCAACTCTCCTGTTTAACCAAAATTTAGCCATATCATCATAAAGCTGAGATTAATACTCTATATTACTCAAATCAAGCACGAGAAAAATGAAAGGAAAATGCATATTTAGCATAACAAATACCTTAATACTCAAATGACTGATACACTACAAAATGCTTCAATACATAGTCATAAATAATCAAAACAATGATACAAAGTGATTTGTGAAGAAAGATATAGATAGTGCAAGTTACCATCTTTTGCAAAACGGGCTAATCTAGAAGCTCCCATCCTTTTGAACAAGGGATCCTTGACACGCAAGAGAGATACCGACTGTTGCATCAAATTTTCCCCTGAAATTTTTTATTTCAATAACATTGTCAGGTTTGAACCACCAAGAGTAAACAGAGACTTCATGAGCTGGAAATTGTTGCAGGAAAACTGTTGATAGTTGGACGATTGATACCCATATAAGGAAAGAACTGGTATCCTGCATAAATTGCAGTGCCGAAAAATAGACTCTTCAATAACCATCCAAATTTTCTCTCAACTTCATGCTCCAAGGCTAGTTCTTCTAATCATGCAACATAATAGAGCAGTTCATTCACACAATGAAAACAAAATCATTAGGTTTCAATTTCTTTGCATTTCACAGTTCTAGATTTTGACATATGATTGAATCACATAAACTCCTCAAAATCAGCATTAAGTACAATGCTTTCACAGTAGATTAATTAGTACTTTAATTTGAGGTTTTTCTTTTGTTTTCATTTCTCAACAATATGATTTCAGCCGCAGCAATTTTTTCAACAAAATTATGGATAAAAAAATGATACCTTTGCTACTAGAAGATGAAAATTTACGAGATTGTTGATTGATTGCAACTCTTCTTCTGCATAAATACTGCAAAAACAAACATCAAGGTCAGATTTTTCTTTGAATTTGTAAAACTGAAAAGGGATAATAAAATTAGGGTTGAAACTGAACACGATCAAAGAGGAATTTGAGAGAAAATTACGTTAGAGACTTGAGCTGCTAGGTTGCGCATTATGCAATAGGTACTGAAACTCGCAAATCGGAAGTGACAATGGTCACTGCGTCAAGATTGCTTCACCAACTCTGAGAACTGATGATGCGATACGAACGTGAAGGATCCGGTTTGAATTCCTTTCCGGGTCGGTTCGATAAACCATAACCCGAATCAGAAGTTTTTGTTATGCGAAATTTTACCCTCATATTCTAGTTATCCCTCACACCTATATTTTTAAAAAATATTTTAGTTCTATCATTTTTATCTATCAAATCATTTAAGTAGAATACTTGTTTTTTATTCTCTTATCTTTATTTTTGAATTGGAATTTATTTTGATGTTTTAATTTAATTTAAAAAATTTATGTGAATATTTCAATTTTTCGAAATATTATATTGGTCAATTTCATTCAAATGTTAGTAACGACATCTATTTTTTACTCATGTAAAACATTTAACTTCTATAATCGATTTATCGACAAAAAAATCAATGGATTTGTAACATCTCCCTTCTTCCTCAAATTATGAGCATTAAACAAGGCAGTAAGCATTACACTTCAAAACTAGCCAAGTTATTCATGAACAAGAAAACTAAAGCCTTTCACAACATGACTCGACATTTTAAATAACACACAACTTTTTAAAGCAAAACAATAATCAACAAAAATTGTCTTAAACATAATAATTAATCTTAAAGAACATCAAGATTGGAGAATTATGCACCTTTGCACCCGTGCATCAAAGAATTTTAATTAAAAAATTTTGGTATGTAGTTTTCCTTCACCGAATAACGTATATTAAATATTTCAGTATAATTATATGTTTATAGAATAAATTACATAAAAGTCATTCAATATTGTAATCTTTACTAGATAATTTGGTTATAAGTGTTCTAATAGTTTTCATGTTGTTTATCGAATAATTTATCTATAAATTATTCGATATGCAACTTTGTTCAACTTTTTTTCAATTTTTTTTAATATTTCACATATATGGAGATCCACATATATATATATATATATATATATATATATATATATATATATATATATATATATATATATATATATATATATATATATATATATATATATATATATATATATATATATATATATATATATATATATATATATATATATATATATACACGAGAAAAATTGGATATTGGTAGATATCATTAATGCATTCTTAACTCCAAAAAAAATTGATACAAAAAAAAATGATAAGGTGGATTAAGGAGGTTGAAATTATACATAAAGTGATTGTTATCATTACTCGTTCAATAAATTATACAAAGCATTAAAGAGATAGATAGATAGAGAGAGAGAGAGAGAGAGAGAGAGAGAGAGAGATGCAATAAATTAATCTTTGATTGTGATAGAGGTGAAAATATAAGGAACCAAACAGTGCAACTAAAAAATGTGGTTGTCCATTCAAAATCAGACCAACGTCGTCTAAAGATGGTTCATGATGGAAGATTGATGTAAAATTTGGACTTCACAACCACGATTTACCGAATATATTTGAAGTTCATGTGTTTGTTGGTCATCTGAGTTTAGATGAGCGGCAACATGTTGATTAGACAAAGCATTATGTTTCACCCAAACACATACTACTTTCATTGCAAAAGTGAGATCTATAGAATGTTACTCAGATCATACAATTATATAAACATTAGACTAAATTACAAAAAGAGATTAGAGATCCTAGAACTGAGATATAACGTATATGACACAGATGTTGCTTTCTGAGATATAACGTATATAAGCATTATGTTTACTGGAGTAGAAGAATATATGACACAAATGTTGGAAGAAATGGAGTTCCCAGAAAGCAACATCTTGGATATTAGGATTTTCTAGGCGTTTACAACATTGGCAAAAACTTACGCATGTATCATCTTCAACAAATACTTGACTTCACTAGGTATCATTTGATATTAATTATTGTAATAATCAAAACTAAGAGCTACTCAATTAACTTGCAGTTTTGTTATCCATAAGCTTCGCCACCTTTGATCAATTTAACTATACCTGCAAGCACATATATCCACATCATTTACATGGTTCTTGTGGCAAAGTGTTCTTAGAGTCATACTAGAGGATTTTATTTTTCTCTTTGTTTACTGCAGGGTTTTTTTTTTGCTTTGGTTTCTCATAGTTTAACGTTTGGATTTTGGTAAACTTTTATTTATTACTTCTTGTAGGTTTCTATTGTTGGTTTTTCTGTGGCGTCTCTATTTTGTATAAGCTCATTGTTGCCTTGTTGTATTTTTTTTCCTAAATAGGAGTTCTCGGTTGGCAACATCTAGTATATATTAAGAGTACTATTCCATGTTGTTCAAAAGAAAAGTAAATTAAATATTTTTTAAAGGAATCTGCCATATGTTATCTATTATATTAATTAATATTGTATAAGTATTCCTTAAAACATCAAATCATGAAAAGAACGAAATTATGTTTTTAGATTGTCAGAAACTAGAATGCTAGAAAAGAAGCAAAAAATCTACTAGGTGTGTTGGTGATCAGACAAGGTAGCAAGTGGAGGCGACGCTGGACATGTGACTGGCCAAACAAACTTGACGAAGGCAGTATGGAGGAGTTCGGTCGTTTAGCGACGAAGATCTGTATAGTGGTCCACGTAGGTGAGAAAAGGCAATGCTAGAGATTCGGCGGTTGTTGGCGAGAGGTAACATGTCTGACTAGGCGGTATCTGCAGGTCAGGTCCGACAGGAAGCAGATCTAGTTTTGACGGTTTGTGTGTATCAGGCTTGGTCATTTCAGTTAGCGAATTCATTTGATTATGGATTGTGTTTTGGGCCTGTTATGGATCTGTTGGATTTTAGCATTTATAAGTATACATCTTTATCATTCTTGTAAGAACAACTTTCTGAAGGTAGTCTGTAAGATAGAGGAAATATGTGACAATCCTAGCAGGAAAACTTAGAGACGCAAAGGTAGAAATTCCTCTGGCGAGCAAGTATAAGTGAATGGTCACATAACTCTCAAAGATAATGTTTCGGCTGAACTAGAGCACAAAAATGACCACGGTCTTGTATATCATGGTACACGCCCAATATTCATACAACATCATCATAGGACAACCCACCTTTGACCTTTTAAGGGCCTCCTTATTTACCCTGTACTTAAGCATGAAGTACCCACTACCTAAAGCCAGGTTGGAATAGTTCAGGGTGATTAAGAGACCACCAAAGAAAGTTACCAAAACAAACTATGGATAAGGAGGGAGGAGATGGATGCAACCGACACTCTATAACCAAGAGCACAGTGAATGAATTACGTGAATTTAGATCTCATAACCCAAGAAAGAAAGATTGATGCCCATAGAATATCTAAAGGTGGTCGATATTAGGCCCCAATATTTTCACACTGCCAAGTTGAGAACCTCTTTGACCAAAGCTAAAGAAGAGGAATCGGTCGCCCTGCTAAAGAGGAAAGTTGATTTGTTCACTTAAGCCTCTACCGACATGACATGTATAAATGTTAAGGTGATTTATCATTGTCTAGACATTGATTATAGTGTGAAAATTGTGGCACACATAAAACATAAAGTTGGCAAAGAGAAATGGATAGCCATCGACGATGAAGTCGAGAAGTTGAAGAATGTGTGCTTCATAACTAAAGTTAAATATCCGACTTAGTTAGCAAACATGGTCCTGGTTAGGAAATCGTTAAATAAATGAACAATTTGTGTCTATTTCATTAATCTACATACAACATTCCATAAAGATCCATATTCGTTGCCCAACATTGATAGATTAATCGATGAATCCTTAAGTTATAAGACTTTGAGCTTCATGGATGCTTACTCTGGTTATAACCAATTAAAAGTGGAGCCCTTGGACGCGTCCAAGGCGGTGTTCATGTCCAATAATTGCAATTACTACTACAATTTCATATCATTCAAACTAAAGAAAGAATGCACTACTTATCAAAGGATAAAGGATACGATATTCTCAGATCAAATAGGGAGTAATTTAGAGGCTTACATCGACAATATGATTGTGAAGATCTTTAAAGAAGGAGGTCCATTGTAGATATTTGGAAGACATCTTTGATTCAGTTAGAAGATACAACATGCACTTGAGCCCTACCAAATGCTCATTTGGGGTTCAAGCGGGCAAGTTCTTAGGATTTATGTTGACCAAAAGAAGGATCGAGGTGAACCCTGATAAAATTTTGGCGATAACTAACACGAAGGCCCCTATCACATCAAGGAAGTTCAAAAGCTAACAGGACGTCTAGCTGTCGTATCTCGTTTTCTTTCATGTGCAGGTGACAAAGCATTTCACTTCTTTGCCACTCTAAAAAGAATGACAAGTTTGAATAGAAAAACGAATGCAATGAGGCTTTTAGAGCATTGAAAATATTCTTGGTGACACCCCACATACTAACGCACCAGGAAGAAGGCAAATCCTTATACTTATATTTACTAGTTACCGACAAGGCGATGAGCTTTGTACTTGTCTGAGAGAAAAACAAGGTTGAATAGTTGGTCTACTTTGTGAGAAAGATATTCAAAGGCACTGAGGTATTGTATCAAAAAATTGAGAGACTGGCATTAGCAGTCTTTATTAGTGCAAGGAAATTTATACCATACTTCTAAGGGTGTGTGATGGTCAAAACTAACCATTTTACCTACCAAATCCTAAAAAAGCTGATTATAGCAGTTAGAATGGTATTCTGGTCAACTGAGCTATCTGAGTATGATATTCATTTCTTACCTAGAGGAAGTATAAAACCCCAGGTGTTGGCAGACTTCTTGGCGGAGTTCAGTTCCTCTTTGAGCAAAAAATTCAATTCCCTTTGGCATCTTACTATTGAAATCCTCATCAATGTTGAGGGACACACCCTTAAGGAAACTAATTATGAAGAAAGAAATCCAAAATAAGGCTAGTCGCAACAAGGTCGAATGTTTTCGTCAATAAACCCCAAAGATCCTACAAATGGTCTATAGAGGGCAAGAGATAAAACAAAGCATGAGAGGTTCGAGAATCTGAGTCTCGTTTGAGGGACTCGACATTCTGAGTTTCGACTGAGGGACTAAACTGTCTTTGTCTCTCTCAAAAGTAAATAGCTTTGCATAAATTAAATTATGTTGCTCTCTCCAAGACCTCGTGCTTAAGGGACTATGGACTAAGAAAATTTTATTAGGCCTAAAAAGGGGCGTTCCATGACAAACAATTCGAATTAAGTGTAGTAATATTGGATGAGCGCTCGGAGAAGAACTGGTCGTCCAAAACGAACAGGTGATCCAAAACGCATTCTAAGTTATTCGATTGAGCTTTGGTTGCCCCGCCAGAACTGAAATCCATTACATGTTTCATTTATAACATGTGGTCAATAAGGTGTCCAAAAAGTAACAATTTGGAGATATCAATCAAAGAGAAAAACTATCTTCCTTTGAAAAAATTATTTTTTATAAATATCTCAATTCTAAAATTGAGAAAGATTGTTCACTTATTCCATAAAGAAAACACACAAAATCTTCACGATCCTTACGTAAGCATACTCTCTTTCACTATTGTACTCTCAACAAAATACACATGTTATAAAAAATAAACAAATAATCAATTTTTAGTTTAAGAAAGTGAAAATGTGAAGAAAAAAAAAACTTTTGTATACTTCTAAAAAGTAGCGCGTCATCAATTTGTACCCAAAAAAAATAAATAATAATTTGATTGAATTTAAAATAAAATGATTATTTTTGTGACTAGAGGAAAACAGAAGAATCAAAATAGTAATTAAACTAAAAAATTATATTCTAAAAAATTTAGTGCAAAACTCTCGCACACTAGATGATCATAATAAGTAAAAGAAATTATAAATTCAAAATTGCATCGAACATATCATTGGAATTTTTAGCATATTTCCGGGTAATACTTATAAGCATGAAGTTAAAAAGTTCTTAACCAAGTTTAAAATAGATTTAATTGTAACTATGATCTTCTTATTTTGTAATTTTTTGAATTTTAATCTCCCTATTTTAAAAATTACAATTTTGTTTCTTTTTATAAGTTTTGAGTTTGATTTTAGTCTCCTCTCCAATTTAAAACTTTTCTTTAATGATGTGACGCTATTTAAGATGACGTGTCAATGCGAAGTCATTATTATAAGATAATGTGGCACTATCTAAAATAATTAATTTATTAACATTGTTTTAATTAATAAATTTATTAATTTTTAATATTGTATTATTATTATTTATAATTTATTAATTAATCAAAATTCTAAATGAAACACTTTGGGCCTAAACTTTTTGGTCAATCTTTCTAACACACAATTAATTTATTTTGTTTGTGTAAGATATATAAACACTAAACACATTGGTAATGAAAACAACGTGGAACTAATATAAAACACCACCAATCCTATCCATCTCATCTTTTCACCATTGAACTTTCTTCAGTACCTTGTTTGCTAAATAAATCAAATTCTGAAGATCAAGCTTCATTGAATAGAATTAAGCTTAATATGTATTACTCTATCCAGGTTCCTCCTTTCTAATGGTTGCAATATTAATCATATTTTTTTCTCCTTTATTTATTAGATCAAGGATCTTTATAGAATATAACAATTGTTCGAATTTATTTTTAATTTTATTTCTTTAGTTCTAACGGCTACTCTTAGAGTAAAGTAGAAAAGGAACATTTAATATTTTGTTTGTGTTTAAGATTGACTCTTTATTTCCAAACAATATATGTGAAAAAGAACAATATTATACACATAATCTGATTTAAATGATATACATGGAACAAAAATATAATGACTAATTGGATATAGTTAAGCTCAAAAGGATGCGGAATACATTTTGCCTAAAATAACATCAACAACCAACATTATTAAGCAAGCACTACAAAGCAAGCACTATAGTAATATAAACTAACAATGACACAGTGTTAAAAATATAGCTTACAAATTATGACTACTCTTGTTCTGTATTGGCAAAAATTATAGTTATGTCCATCTCTCTCGATTTTAAGGACAAAATTGTCTTCAATAATAGCTCTACAAGTAGAATTATCCCTTATAAGGTAGGTTATGGCTTCTGATATTGTAAACACATGAAATGGAATAATTTAACTAATGAAAATGATACAATTTGATAATCATTTGTATTGCTCTATAAGGTTATAGCTATGTAAGTTTAGAAAGATTTGAGAAAGTTCAAAATCCATTTTTATTGCAGAGCTAATAGTATATGTATAAAAAATATATCATTAAGAGTTTGTAGAACAACATCATTCAAACTAAGATGCTCATTTCAATTGGCTACACATTTCTCCTTCACTTGCTCATTTAAATGGTGAAAATATGAGATGGATATCATAGCATAACAGTAGATGGTGTTTCATATTAGTCCCACATTGTTTTTTTTACAAATGTTTTTAGTGTTTATATATCTTACACAAACACAACAAATTGATTGTGTGTTAGAAAAATGGATCAAAGAAATGGACCAAAAAGATTAGACCCAAAGTATTTTATTTAAAATTTTAATTAATTAATTAATTAAAATAATATTAATGACTTGGCATTTACACGTCACCTTTGATAGCGCCACATCATTAAAAAAATCTCAAATTTGGTTTTTAAAATGGAAGGATCAAAATTCAAAAAAATACAAAATAAGGGGACCATAATCTGGTGGCCGAATTAAAATCATATGTATCATTTATAAGTATCTTTTCAATAAAACGAAAAAATCTCTTAAGGCATCTATGGATTTCTTTTCTAATATTTTGAAGATATATCTCTGGAATAATTTAAACTTTAAACAGTCAAAATATATTTCATATAGTTCATTTTCATTTATATTTTTCCAAAAATGCATCTACGAGAATTTTTTGAAAATACATATCCGAAGTATTTAAGAATAGATTTTAAAATAAAAAAAAAAACATATTGTATATTTGTTCGCAAATGAATTATAAAATAACAGACAAACAAAATAACATAACAATATAGTAATAGGATGTCATACGTTGCGTAACTTTAAAATGTAGTAATAATGTAAAGAAAAAAGTACAAACTATACAGACAACTACTGGGTGTGATTGACAATCTCTCTTGTGCCTCCTGTGCCTGGTCTGTCTCTTCGGCCATCGATCCCTTCTATCCTCGCATGATGTCTGTCGTACAAAAGTGCTCCATGTGCCTCCGCAATAATGTCATCCAGTACTCGACTGACAGCAGACCCCTCAAAGGTCGCGACAATGGCGTCCTCTGCCCCTCACAATGAAAACTTTGAAGTCCTGATAATCCATTTCAGCCAACAAACGATACATACACTAACTCTAAACTATGTTTTAGCTGATATCTAAACATTTCTACACCTAACAATGCATTCTAACTCGTTTACAGGAATACTTGAATATTTATCGAAAACTCAAAAAACTTATCCAGATATATGATTTGGAAGATGTTGAATGATTAACTGGATGCTGCTTGATGATTACTTGAGTCTTGGATGGAAGAAATCAAATTTGGTGAAGTTTGAGAAATTTGGGAATGAGAGAGATGAAGAGGTTTGTGAATGAAAATGAAAAAGTGTGGGAGGAAAAAAGTCTGGCGTGATAATATGCTCCAAATTGATTCGGAGATATATCTCCAGAATATTTCAACTTTCAATTGAGCTTTGGTATGTCCGGAGATATATTTCTAAAATATCTTCACGTTTAGTTAAAGTATAGTGCATCCGGAGACATATCTCTAGAATCAAGGGACATACGTGGAAAGTCACATGGTGTGTGAGAAGTTCATAGGGTGTCTTAAGAAACAAAAAAAACGATGTTTCAAAATTAAAACAACAAAAACAATAGTTAGGTTGTCCAATGGTTATTGATGTTGAATTTGATAGAGAGGATTATGGTTCGATCTTTCACAACTACTATCCGGAGAAAGTTGAAACCATTTGATACTAAAATTGATCCTGAATCGAATTAGTCAATCTAGTGAATAGAATATCAGTGGTGAAAAAAAAATTAAAAGAAAAAAAGATGGATATACCATGTCTACAAACCAGAGACTAACTTTACAGGAAAGTACTTACTGAGAACAATGCAAGAATCATCTTATTCTGCTTCACAATCTCTCAAAATAGCTTTCAATAAATACACAACGAATAAACCAAATTCAAAACACAATCAATTATTTGGAACCATTCACAAATGCCCTTGTAACTAGCTGCACAGTTAAATGTGGACACCTATGCACAAAAGCTTCAAACTTAGGAGAAGAAACCATAAACTCAATATTCTTAACTAAGAAATTAAAAGCTGTCTCCTTCAAATTTTGGTTTGAACAAGTATCAGCAATCTCTAGCGTCTCAAACGCATTAGAACTGCTTATTGAGTTAAGCAAGAATCTTTCACAGTATTTCAACAAATGTGGAATAATATACTTATCAGCTGCTTGTGACAAAGCATACACATGTTTCTCCAATTTTTCCAATGCCAATGTTCCACTGTAGAGAAACTCTAACAGAGATTCTAGTTCTTCATGGTTCAGATCTGGTATAGTTATTGTGTTACAAGTTGGTGCAGCTTTACATTCATCACTCTCTAGCATGTTCTTAAAAATTTCTGATCTTGCAGCCTACAATGTAATAACCAAAAATTAGAAGAATAATACTTCTTTTATACGTAGACGAAGTGGTTATAACTGCTATAAACTCAGACACATAATTGTGAGATCAGGATTCAAACCCTGATGCTAGCGTCCAAACTAACAATATCGGTTTTTATCTGGTGTTGGCATTTATAACTACTATAAACTCACCAAAACAGATTTATGTGCAGGAATCGATGGACCATGATTGCCTGGACTAATCAATATATCTGTATGAATTTGTTCTTTGAATGCAGCAAGAAAGCCTCTGAGAAAACCCAAATCTTGTTTTTGTTGATTAAACTTTTCTATTTGTTCTGAACACAATCTTATGCAATCATCAAGTGTCTGCATACCAAAAAAGTGAAAAAACTATCTTGTTCATATGATTATATATATACTTTTTTATACATAATTTTTCAAATGAACTAAATGAATTATGAAAAGAATTATAGCTTGCCTTACTCGAATTTCGCCGCGAAACCGGAGAATCATTTTGATTAGTGATTGCTTTTGTTTTATCACTTTCAAGACCGTTCATCATGTTGATTATGCTTCTAACTCCTTCATAGCATGCTCCACATATTGTATTTCTTGGAGGCCTTAATATTAATGGCATAGTTGTGCACACACAACAATCCATTTTTTTCCTTAGAATTTTCTTCTCTTTCTTAGATTACACAACAGAAAAAGAGGGAAATGAAAGAGATAACATATACATGATTCTTCTGAACTTTATATATATAGTTGTCCTCTACCTTTTATTATTTATATAATATTAATGTTCCTTGGACCTTATAGAAAATTTATTAATGCCTAATAAAATAGGAATCTAAAGGAAAGTGAAATTGAAAAAGAGATTGGTGATTAGAAAATGGTTTGGTAGAATATCATTTTAGAGTAGTAGTTAGAAAAATAGTTAACAAAAAGAATCAAGCAGTTAGGAAGAAGAAGACTTTCCAACCATACAATATCAAAAATGAGGAAAGCAAATTCCTTATCCTTGGAAGTTGTAACCACTTTTGTAGTTATCAATATCATTCCCTTCATGTAGTTCCTGGAAAGCTGTAACCACTATTAATTATTAATTTATCAAGATTAATTTAATACTATAAACAGTTGTAATTGTGTGTTTAAGGCCAGGCTGGTTTGTTAATGGTTCAAGTTGCAATAGCATTTTTATGACATGATTAGCCGTCCAATCATGCTCACTTGTTATTTGGTAATGCTCCCTCTGAAATATAAGCACTTAGTTAAATAAATAAGTTTAGTGCTCTTATATATTTAAGTAAAGTTTAATTAATTATTAATTTAATCATATTTACTATTATTGTACTCAGAAAATTCTTAAATAATGGAACTTTTATTTTCATAGAAAAAGTTTTATAAATGCAATTTAATGGTGCCAACACAATGCCGAGCCTTCCTTTTATTATTTTATTTATTTATTTATTTATTATTTTATTATTTTATTATTAATTATAAGAATTTGATATGAAAAGAGTGGATGAATGTCCAGTGAGGTAGGTGTTGAAGAATAGTAGTATTTTGATCGGTAGTTTTTATAATAAAATTTGACTTATTTATTTAAAAAAATAATAATTATTGTTATAATTATTTTTATAGATAAAAAAACTCAACTATTGATACAATTATTTTTATAAACGGTAATAAGTTACAAATAATTTATAAACGGAAAAATTTAACCATTGATACAATTATTCTTATAAACGAGAATAAGTTATGAATATTTTTATAAATGGACACACGGTTTCAAGACGCTTGCTTATAAATGGAAAAAAGTCTACATGTTGATACAATTATAAACAGGAATACGTTATAAATATTTTTATATACGAGAATAAATTACAAATATTTTTTTAAACGGAAAAAAATTCAACTATTGATACAATTATTTTTATAAACAGAAAAATTCAATTATTCATACAATTAGATTTATAAACGGGAATAAATTTATAACTATGTGAATGTTAACCAACTGAATAAATGAAATTAAACTTGACAAATGAGAGTCAAAGACATGTAATATCTAAAAAGTAGTATTATTTGAATTGGAAAAATGACTTTATTCAGAGTTGTAGTTTTAGAATTTATTCATCTAAATTCAACTGTTTTTATTGTAATTACTATAATTTCAAGCGTAATCCATGGGTAGATGTGAACTAGTGGTGGAAATAGGTTGGGTCGAGTTAGGCTTTAAAGTCTGATCTGTCAAAAAATCTGAGCCTAAGTCTGCCTTGTAGCCTATCATAGACTTACTTTTAGGCATGAGTCTGACATTTTTTAAGGTCTAGTTAGCCTACATAAAAAGCATGTTATTTTTAAATAAACTAATAAACTAAAAACACAAACGAGACTAAAATTTTGTTTACATTGACTTATTTTAGCTTATTAACATAAGTTTTGTGAGATTATTTGTTTAAGATAACTTATGAAAATAATTTATAACATTGTTCACAAGGTGTTTTCATCTTATTTTCATAAGATCTCCAAGATAACCAATTTTTATTTATATATTTTAATTCAAAGTACAAAACATAACATAATGATAATAAAAAAATTATTCATATTTATTTAAATAGGTCGGCCCGTTAGGCTTAAAGGACTTTTTTCATGGTCTGAGGCCTAACTTTTTTTTTTAACTAAATATGCTTATAAAAAAGTCTAGACCTTTTCTATTTAAAAAAAAACTTGGTCTGGTCTGAGCCTGTGTAGGCTAGGCCCGTAGGCCCCTTTTATCGGCCTAACGTATTTCCACCCTAATATGACATATCTATGAGATACTAGCTGTAGACTGATCATTTTAATGTTTATATTTTAAATCTTTCTTTTACTACTGTTTTATATAATTGAGGTTAGAAAAACGATTGTACCTTTTATTATAAATACATATCAATGCTTAAAAGTTGTTGCATAATATTAGTAGATATTTGAAACTATGTAAATATTTATCGACTGCAAAATAAATTTCATAGCTGACAAATGAGAATGAGAAACAAGTAATGTGAATCTGGACGAGACTTGTGCGATAACATGAGTTTCTTACTAGTTTTCATAGAAAAAGTTTTACAAATACAATTTAATGGATACTATTCTAGCAAAATGTGAAATGAAAAAGATGGCCATGGCACCAAATTCTATTTAGAAAATGAATGAAAGTTATTGTTATTCCAAAAAGCACAGTGGACCATGGTATAAGTACACGATCAACATGGGCCAATTACAATACAAAAAGTGATAGGCCCAATACCAATAAGCATAGCCTAAAAAATAAAATAAGAACTATCTAATACCCCACTTAAGCTTGGGGTATATGAAATGTAAGCCAAGCTTAGAAATGTTGGATGAGAAAGGTTTGAAATTTAAAGGTTTGGTGAAAACGTCTGCTAGCTGCTGCGAAGAGGACGCGGGAAGAAAACGGGAAAGTTATTGTTGGAGCTTTTCACGCATAAGGTGGCAATCCAAGTAAATGTGCTTAGTGTGTTCGTGGAAGGATGAGCTGTTAGCTATGTGTATGGCAAAGGCATTGTCACAATAAAGCAGAGTCGGTTTCTTAAGAGGGATGAGAAGTTTGTTTAAGGTGTTTGTCAACCATTACAGTTCACAAACCATGGAAGCCATGGATCTATACTCTGCTTCAGTGGAATTTATGAACACATTGGGATGCTTCTTAGATCTACATGAAACTAAGGAATCTCCAAGATAAATGCAGTAGCCTGTTATAGACTTTCGTGTTTCAGGACATGTGACCCAGTCAGAATTTGAGAAGACCTTGAGTTACAGAGTGGAATTGCTTGGAAAAATAAGACCTTGAGCTGGTGAAGATTTGAGGTAATATAGCACATGTAAGCCTGCATTATAATGGATATCAGTAGGATTACTCATATGTTGACTTAGTTGTTGCACTGAGTATGAAATATCTGGCCTGGTGTTGAGTAGATAAATAAGTTGTCCTACTAATCTTTTGTACTTGGTAGGATCTTGTAAGGGTGTTCCACTAGTGGATTGCAGTACCGTATTACGAGCCATTAAAGTGGAGACAGGCTTGCAACCAAGTAAGCCAGTAGTTGCAAGAAAATCAAGTGTTACTTCATTTGACAGATGTTAATGCCATGATTGTTGCGTGCCACTTCCAGTCCTAAGAAATACTTCAAGGTACCAAGGTCTTTGATGTGAAAATGAGTTTGTAAAGTGTGTTTTGTATGATTAATGATGTCTAAATTATTTCCTACAAGCAGAAGATCATCAACATATATCAGAATAAATGTGAAATGATGTTTGGATGTGTGTATAAATAATGAGTGATCAGAGGAGTTTACACACTTGATTTGGATAAGAAGGTGTGATGCCTTTAGGTAAAGACATATAGACTTCCTCATCCAAATATCTATGAAGGAAAGCATTATAGACATCAAGTTGAAAAAGATGAAAATTTAAAGAAGAGGCAAAGGCAAGGATCAATCATACAATGGTCAATTTTGCAACAGGAGAAAAAGTATCAATGTAGTCGGTAGTACTGACTCAGTACCTTGAATTTGATAAGCCTTGTACCACTAACCTTGCTTTATGTCTTTCTATAGTGCCATTGGAATGAAACTTGGTCTTATAGACCCATTTACACCCTATAGCTTTCTTACCTTGAGGTAAAGTAGTGAAGGTTCAAGTGTTATTGTCTATTAAGGCCTGTACTTCATCACTCATGGCTTTAATCCAAATATGATGAAGACTGACTTACTTGTAATTAACAGGGTCACAAGTTGTGTTAACAACTGAAATATAAGAGAAAAATGCAGATGAAATATGAGAGTATGAAACATAGTTAGAGATTCCATATGGAATAGAGGAATAAGATGCATAACAGGAAAAATCCTTTAAATAAGCAGGGACATATCTTGGTCTGGTAGATTTCCTAATAGTTGTGAGACTAGTGGGGCTGTTAGGAACAGAGTTATCTGTATGGTCATGAGAAGAATTGGTTGCAGGGATAGGAGAGATATGTTGAGGGGTGATTGGAGAGTCAGGTGAAGCTATGGAATGAGGTTGAGATTGTTCATGGCCATGAGTATTTGTACAGTTCATAGAAGATAGATGGTAAAAAAGGGAAGGAATGGTAGAAGTATCATTTTATAGGCTGGATGTAATGTCTTAGTTTTTAGGAGGGTAAGGTGTGTAAGGGAATGTATGCTCATGAAAAACACATTTTTTTTGGAAATGAAGGTTGATCCGGTGTTTAAATCAAATAGTAGCTAACCTTTAACTCCCATGGGGAAACCTAAAAATAAGCACTTGGTGGCTCTAGGATCTAATTTGCCTCTATGTCTGGTAGGAGTAGAGGCATAAGCTAAGCAACCAAATGTCTTAAGTTCAGTATAAGAAGGGGGTGCGTTAAAAGGGAGCTCAAAAGGGGTATTGTTTTGTATGGAAGGACTATGTAGTCTATTAATCAAATAAGTGACATGACATAAAGAAAAGGACGAAAACATTTTGGCAATTGAGCATGAAAAAGAAGAGAGCGAGTAACATTAAGGAAATGTCTATGCTTTCTTTCCATAGTAGAGTTTTGTTGTGGAGTTTCCACACAACTCCTTTGGTGTAGGATTCCTAGGGAAGCATAGTAAGAAG